AGCAACAACAACAGCAACAACAACAACAACAACAACAATAACAATAGCAAAAACAACAGTAACAATAACAATGCCAGCAACAACAAATTCAGGGGTAGAAATTATTAAAGAATTGAATTCAACGAGAGGTCGCCGGACAATTTCTGAAAATAATTATAATATTGTTGACTTGGATGTAGCAACACCGCAATTGAAAATTCTCGAAGAAGGATTTGGTAAGTATTATTTTTTCCGGAATATCTTTTATCGATTTTGTCAAATTTTAACAATTCTCTCTTTATATATATATGCATATGTATAATATGTATATATTTCGTTAACCTGTTTTTTTCCATAGAAATTAAATAATTATATCCTCCCTATCATATTTGATTTGTTTTAAAAAAAAAAAATTTTAATGAATTAACAAGAGGACAAAAAAAAAATGTGAGAAGTTGTCAAAGTACAAACCATTTTGCATTTCATTTTTTACTCACTCATAATTGTCTTCGTTAAAATGATTCATTTGTTAATGCAAAATTGATTGGAATTTTTTCTTATTCATTTCTAATTTTTTTTTTACAGATTTACCGGAACAGTTGGCAAAACCAAGTTCACTAAACGATCGTCATGAAGAAGGCGTATGCATACCGATGTTGAGTATGTGGATTCTTTCAGCATTTTCACTATTTTCAATATCGATAGCTGTCGCAACAATTATTTATTCGAGACTTTCTAGTCGAAAAATGGCATTGTTTTATCGTTATTAGGCTATTCCATTTCAAACTTTTCTATTCTTTCTCATTTCATTTTGTCATTTCTTCTTTTTTCACCCTATTTTAGGGTTTAATTTTTAAAAAAAAAAAACAAAAAAAAGAAGAAATGAAAATTCAAACATAATTTGATCAATTTTAACCTTTTTTTTAGACAAAAATAACATTTTTTTTAAAAATTTTAACTCAATTATACTGTGCAATTAATGCTAAACTTTTAATTCGTATTTAACTTATATTTTAACGTTTACAGTTGCAGTAATGATAATTAAATTAGACTTAAATAATGCTTATTCCTTTCAATTATACCAGGTTATTTGCATGTTTATGCAATAATTTCATTCAACTTTCTGAAAATAATTTTTTCTTTTGTTTGTTGTTAATGGTATCGTTTTTTTTTTTTCATTTTGTTTTTCTTATATTTTTTTATTTTGCTATAATTTTATTGTAACAATAATGTTTACTTTTATAATTCAACATTTTATGTTATTGCGGAAATTATCGGAGTAAAACAGAATGAAATTAGAGAAAAACGTGAACATACGAAAGTGCATACGTATTTTTTATGTGATAGTATTAGATAATCAATTACAAGAAATAATCAATGACAAATTCGAGAAGATGAGATAGTAAAAGTGAAATGAAAGAGAATAAATTTCAAAATTGATGTTGAAAATAAAAACTATCAAATTTTATAACGAATTGCTATTCATTGCCTTTATACAATATGCTGAAAAAAAAATCATTCCTCATTTACATTCCTTCCTAATTACGGTTAATTTGATTGCTTATTCGAATTTTTTTCAGCTTATAATAGTACTGCTGCAATGATAATAACGATAATAATAATAATAATAATGATGATGATGATAATAATAACAAATAACAATAATGATAATAATAATAACAATAAAAACAAATGATGATAATAATAAATAACTTAAGAAGAGTTTTGATAATAAAAAAAAAGGAATAATAATAATAATAATAGCATTAGTGAATGTATTAATAATGTTTTCATCCTATTGTTGCATTTTGTTGTGTTAACACTGAATTCTAATTTATGTCATATATTGCTATGGATTAATAATTTATTGAAATAAATTTATTTTGTTTCACAGCACGTATATATCAAATTGAAAATTTGAAATGATTAATCATTTCAAAATTTGACTATCTATTGAAAATGATTAATATTTGTTGGCATCAATTAATCTTCTATTAGAAAATTGCTGACCTTACTGGTATTTTTCTTTTACCTTTTATTATTTGCAGGCAGATTTAGGTCATACTTCAATTTGACATAATTTATATTTTTACATTATATATTAATTCATTCGTCAAGGACAAGGACAAATACATTAGATTGCTGAAAAATCTACATATGTATAAAAGTGGCAGACATATATTTTGAATTTTGAAAGATTATTATGATGACTGAATAATAGTGAACTTTTTATTTTGTCTTTTCAACAATTCATTGGTCAGTTCAGATGGCCAATAACTATTTATTATTAGTAGCACAAATAACCTAAAATATCTCATAATTTATTCATTGATTCGTTCGTTATTTTTTTTTTTTTTGCATTATTTTTATTCACTCTTTGCTTATTTTTTTCTGTGGAAATGAAAAATAAATCAAAAAAAGTAATTTCATATTGGATGATATTTGTTTGATTTAAATTTTGCTGTTAATTTCAATAATATATATCAAAGTAATATTTCATTTTAATAATACCATTTGGAATTTTTTGATTTGTAAAAAAAAAGAATAGGATATATTTTTCAATGAAAAATTTTCAACCTTGGAATAATAGCAGCAAAATATTGTTAATATTAAAGTAGCCCAAAAATTAACAGTAAGCAAAAATTAACAGTTAGTATTAAAACAACAACTGATGAGAATAGTTGACAATATGGTGACATCCAATCTATCATAGGAAAATATAAATATGAATAGCAATAAAGAATATATTTACTAAAACTATCGATACAGTCTGAAATGAAATTCAAAAAATATACGATTAAGATAAAAGATGAAATTTAAAAATGCTAATTTTAACGATAATGAAAAAATTTAGTCAAATTTTAAAAATTGCAAGATTTAGATAAGAGATCATTTGCTTACCTAATAGCGCATATCAAGAGCTAATTGTATCACGTTAACCATAAATATAGAAATAGCTAAAGGAAAGCCAAAGATTCGAAATGATATTGCCATCTTCCAGTAAGTCCTAAAAAAAAAATAATTTCAATTATTAATCAGTCTTGTTTTTAAAACCGCCAGCGGACAAATTAGAATTTGAAGCGATATTTGACTCGACAACAAATGTTATGCTACATAATTGTATTATGTTGAAACATATATAAACAAAATTTTCGAAAAGTTCAAATATCTATTTAAAACTTGGCAAATTTTTTCAAATAATTGATTATATATACAGAAACTTACAGCAAGAGTAATGAAAAAAATGGCAAAACTTTGCCAAAATTCATCCAATATATTCAACCAAAAATGATCATTGAAACAGGAATGAAAATTTAATTTAAATTGAACTAAACGAAAAAAATCAACTTAAATTTGTTTGAAGTGATTTCATGAATTCCAAGACTATCGAGATTCTGATAGATTAATGTATTCGATAAGCGATAATTAGAATTAATAAGATATGATATTTGATAACAAAGATAAATGATATATCTGATAATAATGATATCTCCTCCCTAATCATCATTGATCTACTACTAATTTTATTTTGTTGTGATTAAAGTTTTAGTTCAAATTTTTATTCTAAATATATACATTACTTAAAATAGGAATCATACATTGTCAGATGAAAATTATTTTTTTTCTGGGCGGGATATTGATTTCAAATCATTCCTCAAATAAAATATACATATCTTGTCGGTCCGGAAGGCATTATATTATTCCGGTTTTTCTTGAAGACATTCTCGTTCAGCTACCTGATCATAAATTCCGAAAACCAGTGATTGAATTCTGAAATT